AGATTGTTTCTTGCTTCTTCATGTTACCAAGTTTCCCAAACAAAAGATCAGTAACTAGATGTTGATTGACGATCAATGATAGAACATGCCCAATCGGCATTTGAAAAAACTTTGATATTTCTTCCTGAAGTTTTTTAGAAGAAAAGACCTTTCCCAAGTGACATTTTGAGGTATCTCAGGATTCTGTATACTACAGTCACGTGTTGCTCAGTAGGACAATTCATGAATTGACTTACCACACTAATAGAGAAGCCGATATCGGGCCTGGTGTGAGATAGATGGATGAGTTTCCCAACCAAGCGTTGGAATTTTCCTTTGTTGACAGGAGTACTTCCATTATTAAGTTCAAGTTTGATAGTTGGATCCATAAGCGTATCGGCTGGGGTGATCTCGTAGTTCCTACGGGGTGGAGATGATGGGCTCAGTCCATGGATTTTCCTTCCTTTTGCTGCATTTCGCTCAAAGGGTTGAAAGGAGATAGTGCATCAAGCTGTTCGCAAGGGCCAACTTGATCCTCTTCCCTAGGGATCCCAGATGAGGGAACCCTAGGAGAGCCGCCGACTCCAAGGCTTACAACCAAGCATTTATGTTTTGCTTAACACGTTTAAGACATACTTCCGCTAAGAGACTAAAATACCTTTTCTTGAACGACCAATCTCCATACTAAGAAAGTACTTGAGATTTCCTAGATCCTTGATTTCAAACTCCTTGGCTAAGGAGTCTTTGAGAAGTTGGATTTCTTCTAGAAGATCAATGTCACAATTATATCATCCACATATACTATGATAATCACTAGTTTCTCTTTTGGGAAGTGTTTTACAAACGTAGTATGATCAGATTGACATTGGTAGTAACCATACCTGTTGATTGCCTTCGTGAATCTTTCGAACCAAGCTCGAGGAGATTGCTTGAGTCCGTACAAGGATTTCTTGAGTTTGCACACCTTGTTGGAGTTTGATGTAGTTTGGAGGGCAGCAGGGATATCCATAAAAATCTCTTCCTCTAGGTCACCATTGAGGAAGGCATTTCTCACATCGAGTTGGTGAAGAGGCTAGTCAAGATTAACAACCAGTGAAAGGAGGACACAAATTGTATTGAGTTTAGCCACTGGGGCAAATGTTTCCTCATAGTCAATACCATAAGATTGAGTGAATCATTTAGCAAACAATCGAGCCTTATATCTATCAACGCTACCATCTGCCTTATATTTCACGGTAAATAGCCATTTGCACCCAACTGTTTTCTTGTCTTTTAGAAGATCAGTAATCTCCCATGTATTGTGTTCTTGAGTGTTTGGAATTCCTCCTGGACAGCAGCATTCCATTTAGGACATTTGGAGGCCTCATGAATGTTGCGAGGAACCTGAACTTCAATGAGATTAGTGGTAAAGGCACGAAAAGTCGGTGATAAGTTATCATAAGAGGCAAACTTTCCAATGGGATGTTGAGTGCATGACCGAACACCTTTCCTCCAAGATATATGCATGTTTAAAATCTCATTTTCTAACTTTGAATCAACAGTACCATATGAGAGAAATATTGTTACCTGGAATTGGACTTGGTTCGACTTAATGGATTTGCTGGGGTAGAGTTCCTTCCACTATCTCCTCTTGGATGTGCTCCTTATCCTACAAGCCAACAATAAACTCGGTGTTTCCGATAGGTAGTGGTTGGCTTGGTGACTCTGGAGGGTTGTGATTTTCTGACACTGGATGAATGAGATTTTTTGAGGTGATGGGTGAATCATGGAATGATTCAAAATCCCAAAGATGATATTCTTGAGTTATGTACTACCCCTGAATATCTGTTTTGGTATAGTATGGCTGGCTCTCAAAGAAGGTGACATCCGTCGAATTATAGAATTTCTTGTTGCTAGGAGAATAACATTTATACCTGTTTTGATTTGAAGAATACCAAAGAAAGATGCACTTGAGTGATCGAGGATCAAGTTTACTTCAATGTTGTTGATGGATGTAGACAAAAGTAGAACACCTGAATATTTTAGGTGGGAAAGACGTAATGAGACGAGTCGTCGGGAAAGATTTTAAGAGGGCTTGACAAGCTGTTTGGAATTTTAGGACCCTAGATGGCATTCTATTGATGAGATTACAGCGGCCTCCTAGAAGATTTTAGGGAAATTTGTGCAAACATTAGGGACTTAGCCACCTCTAAAAGATGTATATTTTTTCTTTCAGCAATTCCATTTTGTTGTGGAGTATCTAGGCAAGAGCTTATGTGAACTATCCCTTCTCTTGCGAGAAACTCTCCAAAAATAGAGTTGAAGTAATCCCTAGCATTATCAGACTTGAGAATTTCTATTTTTGACTGAAATTGGGTATGAATCAGAATTTTGAAATTTTTGAATATTTGACCCACCTTTGATTTTTCTTTTATAAGGAATACCCAAGTTAATTTAGTATGGTCATCTATAAATGAGACGATCCATCTAGTCCCTGTATATTTTTTATTCTTGAAGGACCTCAAATGTCACTATGAATCATGAAAAAAGGTTTAGACGCTTTGTAAGATTGAGGTGGGAATGGTATTACGCACATGTTTTGAGTACTGACAAACTTCATAGTTGAAAGAACTTGAATTTTTATTGAACAACTCTGGAAACAAATGTTTAAGATACAAGAAGTTTGGATGACCTAGGCGATAATGCCACAACATAACTGCACTATCATTATTTGAGCAGGAAGCAGAGAATAAACTATCACCAACTTCTGATTGAGGTTATTCTTGAGGATAATGACACTCCTTGAGAATGTAAAGTCGAGAACGCTCCTCACCATTTTTAATTGTCCTCCCCGAATCTAAATCCTGAAATTCACAATGAGTGTAATAAAAATTAGTAACATACCTCTTTTCCTTAGTAAATTTACTAATAGACAATAAATTACAATCAAGATTTGGAACCAAGAGAACATAGTCAAGAGTAAGATCCTTAGACACCACAACTGAGCATTTACCGGTGACTTTTGATAGTGACCCATCGGCTATATGAGCCGTTAGGTTGTCTGTGTGGCGACCCTCTTACGTGGCCGTCACTGTAGTTGACATTAACATATACTTGTTGGAATTTCATCAAAAATTTTACGGAACTTTTTTTTTTTTTGAAAACTCTTATAGTAAACATAAATTTTGAATTTCTTTTTTAATTATAACAAAATATTTATACCTCAACATATTCATCTTTCAAAACATAAATATGTATGTATATACTTGATCTTTAAGTCTTACTTACTTACATCCATTAACAGTCATAGCCTAATCATTTAACATATAATTTTAGAGTCATAATTAGTAAAACTATTTATCACATAAAACTATTTGCGAAAATAATTACGAGCGGTATCTATTCCCCGATCTTTAGATCGTTCGTCCGCCACCTCGCCAACAGTCCATCAAACATTAGGTGCAGGTTGCTTACCTACATTATAAATATCCTCAAGACGTGAGGATTTGTAAAGTTTCTAACGACACCGTGATTTAACGTATAATCTTTTTATCTCTCTTGTAGAGATTTTACATGAACTACCGGTAGTTCAAAATAGACCGGTGCACCAACGATATTCCCTTATTCTTTTTCAATATAGTATAGCAAAATGTCCATTTTTTTTTCTTTTTTGCTGAAATATTTCATAAATTCTTTAAATTGAATGACGAAAGCTGTTAAAGTTAAAATTAGGGAAACAAAAAGCAAGGAAAAAAACAAAATCAGCCCATTGTACGTGTGAAATAACATGCTCTATTGTCGTCTAAGACTAAGATTTTATTACATGCCCCTCAAATGTGCTCAGGTGATATATACGATAATGTTTTTTTTTAAAACTAAATATTAACCATCATGATCAAGGTAGGAACATATTTTATCAAATTCAACGGGTATTTTGTCAAAATTAAAGCTTAAGAGGAATTTTTTTATTTTTATTTTTATTTTTTATGGAGAGGAAAGTTTTTATTGTTCATTTGTATTTTTTTTGAGTTAGTGTGATTTGAGTTCATGTTTATTTGAGTATAGTTTGAGTTGATACTCTAATTTGAGTTTGTGTTTGGATGTGCACATTTTGAGTTATGGTTTGAATTGAGAATCTATTTGAGTTTGTGTTTGAGTGGGTCAAAATTTGAATTTGTATTTAAATAGTATTTTAATAAAAAATGAATGGTGATAAAAAATTTTAATAGGGTATATGGGTGAGGTTTTTTTCGTCTCTTCGTTGTGACCGCAAAGAAAAAAAAATTATCTCAATCGAAATTAAAACGAAAAAGTTATTATTTTTTTAAGAATAAACAAAATATTATTTATTAATTTGAGTTTGAGTTGAAGGGGGAATTTAAACTCATATTTTAGTCCCAAACTCAAGTTTAAACTCAAATTTTACAAAAGAACACGAACTTGAATAAAGTTGTAAGTTGATTTCAAATTTTTTTTTTGAGTTCAGATGCAAATGAACAAGAAATTCTCTAAAAAAGAAAAGTTTTATCAAAGTTTAATTATAGACTTGAGAATAATGAGGGTAATATTGACAAATACTTTTTAAAAGTGCATGGGTTGAAATTTTTACCTTTTATTTTTGTTTTATAATTTTTTTAGTTAAATAATTACACTAACAAAATGATATTTATTAAGAGTAAGGGGTAAATATTCAGACTCATACACTCTAAAGGGTAAATTCTCTATTTTTTCAATAGAAAAAATATCTTGTGGGGAGCGATTTTGAAAAAATAGAGAATTTATTTTTAAAAATGTATGAATCTAAATTTTTTTCCTTTATTTTTTATAATTATTTTTTTATTAGTATAATTATTTAATTAAAAAAATTATTAATTAAAAATAATAAGTAAAAATCTTCATCCATACATTTTAAAAGGTATTTATTAAGATTATTTTATATTTTCAACTATATTGGGCCAGGCCCAAGCCTATTTGATTTCCGCTTATCGAAGTCTCATGATCCTGAACAGAGAAGATATGGCGACAGATCGTGTCCTTTTCTCATTCGCTGATTTTTTTTTTTTTCAGAATTCAGATACGAGCAAAGGAACGCGCTTCGCCAACAGAAGCAGAGGTAAGCTCGATTTATTTCTTCCAATTTACGAAGTTCCGTCCACCGAATAAATAAAACGAATAACAATAAAACATTATCTCTGCGCAAAAATGGAAGTCTTTGTTGTTACTTCGTTTACAACCTTAATTATTTCCTATTAGCTAGTTCTTGTTTGATAGTTGATCTTGTTTACTCAAAACAAATATATATATATATATATTTTTTTTTTTTCTTTTTTGGGATGTTGCATTGAGACCTAGTGAGAAACTTGAGTAACAATCATTGCTTTTTTTTTTTCTTTTCTTTATATAACTAGTTTAAATTTATTTTCATATTTTTACTGGAAGTTCACTGAGTTTTATTGGAAAATAAGAATCAACATTGAGCTAAAGATTGCAAAGAAGATCATAATAGGATTCCTTGGTCTCAGCTCTCATTGTGAAATTGAATTATTATACGAATTATTATACCCAACTAAAACTTGCTTAGTCAATTTTGCTTATTTCTGAGTACTAAAAGAGCACAAACTGTTTGATATATTGTAAGCTTTGGACAACCTAGTATGTTTCTGCAACATAAAAAAAAAAAAGAAAGAAACAATATATTCAACTAATTTATTTGTCACTTGACCCTCCAAAGCTTTCCAAAAAAAAAAACATTATAAACATCTCTTTTCTCATGCCTATGGTAATACTTGTAACCAACAGGTAGATGATATATGCAAAACAGGAGATAGTAAAGACAAATTGCTGCATTCGACAAAACAAAATTGCCAAATATAATTTTGGAAAGTCTTAAATTCTGAGTGATGCCATGCAAAGGCAGAATACTTTTTATTGCAAGGCATTCTTCAGTTCCAGAAGAATTTCAAACAGACAGCTTAAGTCAAGTTCTTCATCTATATATTCGAGTTCGATTCTTGGCAGAAGTCATGTCAAGTTATGCCTCAAGGGAAGCAAAGTTTCCTTAAAATTTAGCCGCACAATTGAACTGGTAAAAACCAAAGCAGCATATGAGAGTCGAGAAGAAATTTTGGACGAAGATGAAGATCTTTGTCCTGTAGAATGCGTTAGAGAATTCAAGACTGATGAGGAGTTCTTAAAGATTCTAGATAAGGCCAAAGAAACCGATTCTTTAGTCGTTGTGGATTTTTATCGCACTTCTTGTGGAAGCTGCAAGTACATAGAGCAGGGATTTGCAAAGTTATGCAGGGGATCTGGTGATGAAGAAGCTGCAGTTATCTTCTTGAAGCACAATGTGAGTTTATTCTATAACTGAACTTGTCTGGTTTACAATAGAAGTATATAGATATAAATGAATATATATATGTATGTACGTATGTATGTATGTATAAGCTCTTTGTTTATACTTATAATACTGCAGGTAATTGATGAGTATGATGAACAATCTGAAGTTGCTGAACGACTTAGAATTAAGGTAACTTTCACAGATTGCACAACTTATATTTCATTCCCGTATTTATGAATATCTAAGATTTAGAATCAAGGATAAATGATGCTTAGCCTTCGTTAGCTTAGTTTGCTTTTTCAAAAGATAATATTATTTTTTTTAAATAAAAAATTAATCTAAAAAATGAACTGATACAGACAGTGCCACTCTTCCACTTCTATAAAAATGGAGTCCTGTTGGAAGCATTCCCAACTAGGGACAAAGAGAGGATACTGGAAGCAATTCGTAAATACGCATATTCTGGATCTCAAGATGTTTAAGAATTTCATTTCGGACTTGATTTCTGTAAAATAAAAATGTAGTCTTGTTCTTAGAGGCTGACATAAACCGAGTGCTTTTGGCTGTGCCACTTCTGTCACGTACATGTAACATATATATAAATTGTGCAATAATCAACAAAAGGTTTTTTTTTTTTTTCACATATTGGTCCTTGTAAACTCTCTCTCTCTCTCCCCCACCAATGTTCTTAAATTTTCTTGGAATATTGTTTGGTTAATAATATAGGAGTGTCATTTTCTGCTGAGCTTCAAGATTTGTGTTCTTCGTGAGGCCAATTCAGCAGAACATAGTCCACAAACAAAATAGGCCGTGGGTGAATTACACCTGATGAAGACATTTGGAAAATACATTTATATATTTCTATTAATGACAGAGAAAAAAGTGTGAATGAAGTCGGCAAACAATAAAATCACATCACAATTTAGTATAGATTTATCCACAAAAATTTCATACCACGATAAATAAGCTAAACGCCAGATACAGAGAAATTCATAAAACGACAAAACCAGGAAAACCAAACAAAACGACAACTCGAACAGAACGACACAAAAAATGGCGACCGGAATTAGTGATAATATAACAGAAACAGAAAACAACAGAATTAGAAACACTATAAACGACGACAAACTTAAAACAACAACTCGAAGAGTATGACATGAAAACGACAATAAAATTCAGCGACCAGAAATAACATAAAGCGACTACACCTAGAGAAAACAAGAGAAAAATTAGAAGCGAGATAACCTTGAAATTTGAAAAAAAAGAAGATAGATAAATGTTGTAAGTAAAACGACAACAATATTCTATACACGCAATAGGTAAAAGTGACAAGAAAATCAGAAAATGGCAGACGCATGAAAAAAACAGAAGTAACCTGGAAAACAAAGATAAACTGAAAATATGAAATAGACAAAGCTACAATTGGAAACGACAATAATAACGTAAACGACAACAACTAACAAAAACGACAATAGAAGGAAAAGCAAAACTAGTATTTGCAAGAAGGACGTAAATATGTAGCTGCAAACCTACCACAAGATATTGAGTTTAAATCCCAACTTTCAAATTTCAGGGGAAAAATAGACACAAATATTAAAATCAACCAACGGATAAGCAAATTTTTGCTACCAAAAAAATGTAAAAGGCCATGAACGACAAGAAATAAGTAAAACGACACAGAGATGAAACATAAAAAAAAAAATGGACATCTCGGAGAGCCCAAAAAATAACAACACGTATGAAAAGAGAAAATGAGATAAATACCTGAGTATACGGATCTAAATTTTTATTATTTACTAGTATTTGCAAAAATGATGTGAGCCCAAAAAATAATAATACAGATGACAGATACGAATATAGAAAAAGAGATAAATACCCGAGTATATAAGTTTAAATTTTTATCATTTACTCTTACTTAATATTATTTTTAGTTAAATAATTATATTAATTAAAAAAATATTGATCAAGAGTATAAAGTAAAAATATACACCTTTACAATATAAGTTCAACAATTTTCTTATAAAAGAAATGGAGGATAGAGTAAGAACGACAATGCTAAATTTTAAAAAAATGTAAAAAGGACAATAATTGTAAAGGAAGACGGAAATACTAGAGTGATAATATCCTGAAAAATAACCAAAAAACTGAAAAAGTCAATTCGAAGAGAATAACAAAAAAAAAAAAAAAAATCGTTAAGAGACCAGCGTAAAGAAGAAAAACTAGAGAAACGTTCACAAAACAACAATAACCTGGAAAGAAATGACAGATGTGGAGGACTATTGAGTGGGAACAACAAGCAAACATGACAACAAAATAAGAGACGCAAGCATTAAAACCGACAACAACTAGAGAAAACAATCTAGACGTTCAAAACTACAATAGCTTGATAAACGATTAACGAAGAGAACAATGCAACCAACAAAAAATCGTGAACTACAGGAAACAAGAAAAAACGATATTTACTGACAGAAAATGAAAAACATTTTAAAACGACTACTTGGAGTTTTGATTAAAGAATTTCTTCCTCGATTTATAACATTTGTTAATGTTAATTATGGTTTTTAATTTAGATACAGAACATTAATTCATTTCGCCGATTCGAGTTTTGTTATAATAAAACGCTCTCAGAAACAGCCACATTTAACTTTCTCACTACAGTAAAATTTTTTCATATAAAGTCACATTTCAATTCGAATTAAAAACTCAAATGAGTGAATTAAATGAGTTTTCTGACTTCGAATTTGTGAATCAAACAAATTAGTGAATACAATTGCTAACAAACAGTTCATTGTACTAATTACTATTCTAAAGACAAACATTAACTGAAAAGTGTGAATATTTTATTAGGAAGGAATAGAGCACAGCTATAGACTCGCTGATTCGAGTTTTTAATTCGAGTTGAGATGTGATTTTATGTGAGAGCTTTTTACTGTAGCAAAAAAGTTAGATGTAATTGTTTGTGAGAGCTTTTTACTGTAACAAAACTCGAATTCTAAACTCGAATCAGCGAAATGAACGATACCGTTTCAATATCATTACGATTAGCAAAAGTTTCAATATCATTACGTGGTAAAAGACTAAAGCGCTAAGATTTTTGGACAAAAGACATATCTATAGGTTCATTCCCGTATTTATGAATAACCAGATTTACATATCTTTTTAAAGGTGTGGAACATATATGTATATACATATATATATATATATATATATATATTATGCGTGGGACCTATATTCTGCGCCGGACTTATTCAATGTCACTATCTTATTTTGGTAAGCTACACGCGGGGAATAGTAGTACAGCTGTAACTAAAATGAACTTTGTGGGTGCCCTAAGGCCAGAAGTATCGCCCAGATATCATGCACCAATCATAGGGCTACACTTGGCTCTTTGGTAGCCTCAGACAGGAAAGTTCTGTCAGAAAAGACAACCATGGCTATGCCTTATGCGACAAAGACACGTGACGATGGCTGAGTATGAATTCGTTCACTCAAATTTCTGTGGAATGCGTCTTGATTCCGATTCTCTGTAGCCAAGAATTCATGGAATGTTCTAGCTAGCAAAATTAAACGCCCAGAAAAATAACATTAAAACAAAACCATATTATTAATAGATCACTTGAATAACAAAATAATATTACAAATATAAAACTGATTAAAACAAAGGCTTAAGTATACATATATTTATCTGCGAACCCCCAGATAATTTTGGCAAGTGAGGGCAAGAAAAATTGGGGAAAGGCATATGAAAACAGCCAGCGAAAATAATAGACTAAAAATGGGAAAAGGAGAATTATTCCTTTTATTTTTTATTTTTTATTTCGTAGCGATATTATAGAGCTTAACTAGTGATATATTCTCTCCAAAATCTGGCTGGTAGTCCTTTCTCAGGCACTGGGAATGGGCCATATTGAATTCCGCTTTCCGATCCCACTATTTCCCACCTGAAAATATTATATAAAAACAAACAAATTGTTCCTGTCAGCTACAACTACGAGCATTTAGCCAAAATTGTTCCCTAAACCAGTCTCTATCCAAGGATTTGTCTACGTATAATTTAGAGAATAGATTTCATGGAAGCTGCTCGCATTACGAGCATGATCATTTTTACGTCCACAAAAAAAAAAAAAAAAAAAAATCACATTTCTAAGTTCCTTAAAAAGTAATTCTAAAATTAAGATTATGTATTAAACCGTAAAATCTCTATAAGTATCTGTTATTTTTTTTTTACACATTTTTTCATGCGATTTTAAGTACCATATCTAACGTATTCACCAATATACACTACTCTACAGAATTTCTGAAAAGAGAGGGGAGAATAGAGAAAGAAATTAAGAAATTATAGTACCTGAAATTAGTGACTAAATGGTGGACCATAATTAGTATTTCCAGCTTGGCAAGTCCATTTCCTGGGCAAGCATGAAGACCGCTGCCAAATGGCATAAATGTATTGGGTTTGGGTGCGACCTGCATAAATCGTTTTAAAAAGGAAAAAGATTAAAAATTGTCTGCACTCATTCTTTGCTGGGTGAAACTAAAAATATTGAAAAGAAGAGATCACCACAATAATTCGTTGCAGTTAACACTTCTTTTTATTTGGTGTGAATTCATGGCTTAATAACTCACGGTTACCTCAAATCTTGAGGGATCAAACTTTTGAGGGTCAGTAAAAAATTCTGGATTGTGGTGAATGTTTCTGAACAAAGGCATCACCTTCCACCCTTTCGGAATCAGATATCCTGTCGCAAGAATCCAAAGTGATCAGTTCTTTGTTTCAATGTGCTCATCATTTTTTTCCCCATAAATTCTTTCAATCTAGGGATTAATATATAAAAATTGGTCCGGTTAATATAATATTCTTAACTTTTTAGTACAAAACGTACATATCTATACGGTCTTTTCAGTTTATTCAATAAATATTTTCAAAAGTCAACTTTCTGGCCGGTAATAAGTTCTGCATTGACCCTCTTTTAGCCCCAAAAAAAAAAAGTATAGTTTTTTTTTTCCCTAATGAAAAAAAGTATAGTTTATTCCAGTATCACATTATTTTGATCCGTCACATATTGTTACATAATTTTTTGTGCAGTATATACAAGTATAATGAGCAGTAGGAGCTGTATTTTGAAACAAAATCATATCTATATTAATTTTGACAGTGTTGCATACTTCCGCGATTTGATATGATTTTTGATTGAGTTTTATGCTTAAACCGTGCACTACTGCAAGATATCCTACCGTAGAAAAACTCTCATAATTATGAGTACTTTAGTCAATAATTTCCTCTTACCCTTATATTCCACATCAGCCACTGCCTCTCTGAAAGTAAAAGATATAATGCTCGCCATCCTCAAGCTTTCTAAAACGACCTGACAAGAAGTACAAAATTCCCAATTGTTAGCCACTTATGTCGTTTAAAAAAAAAGAAAAAAAAAAACTAATTCAGAACTTAGTTGGACAATAACATATACCGGTAAGTAGTACTGCATTACATAATAGGACAAACCACTTCATGTACCTTGTAACTAACCGGCATGTTTCTAGTTTGACTCCAAGTCAACGGCTGGTTATTTTCCTCATTCTTTCTACGAATCTCCTCCTGTTCAGCCTGTAACAAAAAGCAAGTGATGAGAGTGAGTTTACTAGAAAATACAAGATTATTGCAATAATTTTATCTTCAACCGAAATTGAAGACAAGAGACATGAAATTGATTTTTCAAGACAGATACTTTTTCTCTAGAAGCCGGGAGATTATGAGTTAGATAATTAAGACCATATTGCTATAATTAGTTGAGAAAATAACAATATACACACGCACACACATGTATATATATACCTTGACAGCCTCTAAAAGTTTCGGCTCATCATGAAGGTACTTGACAATCCAAGTCATGACGCTAGCCGTGGTGTCTTGTGCAGCGAAAAGCACTCCTATTATGTTATCCGCTATCTGCTCACCCGTTAAGACCTCTCCTTTATCATCTTTTGAGTTCAATAAGCAACCCAACAAATCCTTCTCATTCAACTTCTTCTCCTTTCTCTCCGAAATAATATCACTCAGTATCTTACTTAGCCTTTTTCTAGCCTGCACTTATTTTAACGGCCAATTTTATATTTACCACATGAGACAAAACAGGAAGGGTAAAAAAGGGAAGACCACATCAAACACACACACACACATCTATATATATATATATATATATATGTATGTATGCATGTGTATGGCACTTACCAATAGTGCCTTCTTGTAAGAAGTTCCTGGGATGTTGGTAGGGAATGAATTGTAGCCTTTGTCCACTATGCAGTAGTTCTTTTTGAGTTCTTCTCTAAGACGATTCTCCAAATGTCCAAAAATTGATAGTATACCTACTTCGAAAGAATACTACAATGCACCAATGACCAATTGATGAACAAGTCAGAAATACCCAAGAAATTAATTAAATAATATTTTAAAACTTTGCTAAACATGTTACATAAACTTTACCATTTTCATTTCATGGAAGGTGTTAATAACTCCGCCACTGACCCACGAGCGAGAGGCAGAGGCAGCCAAGGCCTCGATATCAGCGACCAAACATTTAATGGCGTCAAGGGCAAGGGGGCCTTGAACGAGCTTCCTCAGTCGCAGATGGTAGTCTCCTTGGTGGAAAAAAAGCGCCGACGGCCCAATTAATCTCTCCTTGCTCTTTGGGTAAGTGGGCTTGAACAATTGAGCCTGTGTGACCAGCACGAACTTCGCCGCTTCTGGGCTCGCCAGCATCACGCAAGGGCAGCCCAGAATATGGGTTTTGAAAATCTCGCCGTACCTGATTGTATACAATACAAGACATTGATTGAGTCAGATATGGCCATGCAGTACAAGAAAGGAAAATAATTAGAACGGAAGGTTCTTTCTTCAGAGACTCAGGAAAAAAAAAAAAAGAAAAGCGGGAAATTAATTAACCTTTTCTGTTTGGAAGTAAAGAAAGTGTTTGGGTCTTGAGAGTAGAGTTGGAGAGTCTCGCCTGTGTAAGGCCAACCCATTGAGCCAGGAGGAAGCTTGGCTCGTTTCTGGGGTGGTTCGTTTCTTTTCATGAAAAGAAACAAGAAAAGACTACTAAGAAGAAAGATCAGTACATATACATAAACTCCACCCATAATTCTCTCTCTCTATCTCTCTCTCTCTCTCTCTCTCTCTCTCTCTCTCTCTTGTTTTGCTTCTGTGATTGAGTTTGCTAGAGTAAGCCCGCGAAGTAATGTTAAGCTCTGCTAGCCAAATTTGAGTTCTGAAACGAGAGGGAGAAGTGAGGCCTTTATATAGAGAGGAACTTTTTTTTTTTAATTTTGTTTAAAATTTTTTTGGGAAATTTTGTTTCGGTTGAAGGGATTTAGACAAAGGGGTAAATGGTAAGATTGATGTGGTACGGGCATACAAAAATATTTTCAATATTTCATGTGGTTTTATTTACTTTCCAATTTGGGTCGAATTCTTATCCTCACAGCCATTTTTCCTAATCTCACTGAGAATATCCTGGATAGAATCCAAGTGAGGGCGTATATGTATGGAAGGCAATTAATTACCAACTTTTACTGGGGATTCTTATCCTTCTCAAACAGTAACATTGGAGTCTTGAAGATTTCGATTTTATCTGATAAAGACCAAAAAATGTAAATATATCAGATGCATTCCAGATCAGGGCACCAGATGTCAACAGTAAATTACTCATTTACTCTCTATCCAGGTACACATGTTGAAAATTATTTAAAACGTATTTAGGACACGAATACAACAACTAATAAAAAATGATTTTTATATGTTGCGGGACTACCATTTTATTAGCATGCGGTACACAACGTTTCCTTATAAGTATTTTTTCAAATTATTTACTTTCTTCTAAAAATAGTGTAGTTGGAATTCTTTTCTAAATTGAAGCCATCTTTTCATTTGAATAAAAAAAATTAAAATATTATAATGTAAATCTAGTAAAAATATTAGGATCGATATAACAAAACAATCATCATAATAAACAAAACAGTTAAACTATTGGATTGATTAAAGAAAATGGAGTTTTCTTCGCGCACCTTTTACGATTAGTGTGCACAAAATTCTGCAAAGAAACTATAAAATTTTACTCCACAAAATATAAACTTCTAACTTTTTCAACATATCTTCCCCCTCCTAATGTAAGTTATTCGGATTGTCACGATAAAGGAATCCATTTATGTTGCATGTTACATACTTAAGCTATATATATATATATATTGTGTTAAGTAAAGATAAAATTATTAAAAGAGATGGTTATATATATATATATATATATATATATATCCCTCCTGCTATTGCCTCGTGCTATATCAATAATGAGGTGAACACTGGTCGCGTTTTGAGGAAAAGACAAAAGTACTATCTTTATATTATACAATTAGTGAGGTAAAGTCTCCACTGTTATGGTCAAAATTAAATTCTTATAAGTCACAATTACTATTAACTTTTTTTTTCCTGCACGGCAATGAACTATATTAATTAAAGAGCCACTAAATAGTTATGATACAAGGCAACACAAAAAAAAAAGGTATCACTCACATAATTAGATAATATAAACGCACCATATCACGAAAACGGAGAAAACTCTTCCACAAAGTGGCACTAGAAGAAGGTTCAATCATATAGAAACGAGTTAAGATGAGTCACATCCTAGTCCAACAATAGACCCAAATCACACAACTTAATCTTAGAGCGGTGGGAAAACTACCCTCTATCTGAGAGTGACACACATCAGACATAGAGTGGTAGGGAGACCACCCTCTAGCTAAGACAAAACGCTGATAGATGGGGACACCATCACCGTTATTATAACACAAACATAAAAAAAAAACCATAAACATATTAAAACGTCTATAAAGATTCTAAAAGATCAACCCAACAAGATTGAGCCCCTCAACGACGAAAATATGCAATGATCGGTAAGAACGACTATGGGAAAAGGCTTCCTCGCCTCCCTCGTTCAACCTAGTTCCAGTGGTTTCAGCGGGATCCTGCATCGAATGAGTTCTAGATCTACAGTTGAAAAACAACATACTCTTTTGTTGGGAACGGTGTCCTAGAAATATGAGATGTAATAAGATATTTATTATTTATTTAAAAAAGAGTTTATTCATTATTTTATGTGCATATATTATTGAATATTTTATGAATATCACTGAGAATTCCATGATTATTTATGTGACCATAAATATTATCTATAAGTGTTATATGTGAGAGGATAATATTCAAAGATAATAATCAAAATGATGTTCATAATGAATTTAATTAAAGTTCAAAATCTTTAATTAAAACATTACTAATACATGTCATTCCCATTTAGAATGTAACGGTGTTATCCATTCTGCTAATATGGTGAGATATTGAATGAGTGTATTACACATAATGAGATTGTGTAGAATCGGGGCACAGACATAATATGAATTTTTGATCATTTCTGTTAAGTATAGAAATTCTAATTGAGTATATTGATGGTCATATATAGAACGATCTTAATCCTGAGTTATTAGCATATTGCTATTTATGGATTTGTGTCTTTTAATTTACTCAGTACGGATTCCGAGATGTTGAATCCTATTCCTTATATTTTAGAGACATGATGAAGTATGTAGCCATGAATGTTAATATACGAGATGAAATCCATTCCTTCTTAAGAAATAAGTAGATAATAAATAATTCTTTTGAGAATTGATTCGGTACTTGAACTAGTAGGAGTTTCGATTCATGAATTTGTTTTATGAATCACTGTCCATTAGAGAATCAATAGTACTCAAGGATAAAGATGTAATTAGAGAGGTTAATAGATTTCACATAGCTCTAATTATGAATTATTTATGGATGATTGATCTATATGCAATGGCTATATCAATTGGACACTTCCAAATTTAAAAGTAAATTATATCTATAATTACGAGAGTGCAATTCCAAGTTTATATTAGAGTAACTTTTAGAATTAATTAATTAATTAAAGAGTTTTAATTAATTATTAATTTTATTGGAGCTCAAAATTATAGGTCCATGAGTCCCCGCATCGTCCTTGTAATCCTACAAGACACTAGGAGCAAAATAGGAATTTTAGAATAATGGAATTCTAAATATAACGCTCAAGAATAATTAATTGAGAATTAATTATAAATTAAATAATGTGATGTGATTATTTAAATTTAAATTTTAGAACACACTTGTGGAGAAGTTCATATGGTGTACACGCCCAACACAGTGGGAATCCCTCTGGGATTCAGTTGCTTACTCTCTAAGTTATCCAATTGACTTATTTGATAAGTCATCCAATTGGAATTCAAATTAAATTAAGTTTGACTTTAATTGGAATTTAAATTTGAGTCAAAATTGGACTGCATGATAAAGGAGAATTTTTTCTCCTTCCCTATTAGCTATTTGTGCCAACCACATGGGAGAATATCCCTATGGTGGCTGGCCCCTATGGCTAAGAGAGAGAAGGGATTTTGTTTCAAAAATAAAATAGAAGTGAGAGATAAATATCAAGCTTTATGTTGGAGATAAAGTTTAGACTTCTTCTGGGAGTCTAACAGCTACTTTATAAACATGAGATTGCAGAAAATTAGAGAACACAAATTTGCTCTCCCTAGCATATAGTGGCCGGATTTATAGAGTGAGGAAAATGAATTTTTTCTCCAAAATTTCACATCGTGCATGTGTTGGTGTTCGTGAAAAACTTGAGTGTTTGAGTGCTAATCATGTTTTGTTTCAGGTGTGCCCGCACACACGTTTTCATAGATTCAAAGAATTGACGAGGAAGATTCGGGTATTCTAAACAAGCTTGGAATGAGGAACATTCGTGGTCAAAAACTCAAGTTATCGATATAATCGTTCGCTAGGTAAATTTATTCATAAATCAATTCGATTAATTTATTCGTGTATAAATTAATGTATTCTATAGAGTATCTCAAAGATTTATTAAAATTTTTATTATACACGATCCGTTAGATACACGTTTCCGCATAGAAAATCGTTTTCAAAACCAACATCGTCCCCTTACACGGCTCTAAATTGGAGACTTCCAATAGCTCCAACAACACGAACTCGACTACGGTGACCTTTGCGACCTTCCTAGTGGTAGCTTACAACATGAGGAAGGCGAATCACAATGTAAAACCAAATCCAGATCCGCCAAGTTCTACTATACCCAAAGAGGAGCACCACCCACCTACAAAAGAAGACAAAAACACAAATAAAAAGTAAAAACCACACAGGGGCCAGGGCTAGGAGGCAAGAGACCACTGAGAGGCGGCTCAACCAATTCACCCCCACAAAGTATAAACTTGCCAGTAGCCTCTTAGTGGGAAAACTCCTAACCATACAGGGGTGAAAGAGAGAATAGGGAAGAGTTTTTTAATTACTATTAACTTCTTACAGTAATTATAATATTAATGTTTAAAAAAAAATAAAAAAAAGATAGTACTATTTAGAAAAACAAAATGAAAAAAGGAAGAAAATTGGGTTTGAACAAAAGAGTACAACCTCCGAGAGACCCATCAGGGCTGGGGGCAAGACCAAAGTGGGTCTTGTGCTGACTAGACCGATGAGAATTACCGCGCGTGTTGGCTATTGTGGTCATGTCTTTTTACTCTTTAATTTTGACCATATCCAATTTTGGTAGAGAAATGCTACATATTGATAAAACAATAGATACGTTTATAATTAACCCTTTAATTATTCAACATAGTCGGACAATTTGTCTAATCTCATGCAATCAAATTTGATTTGGATATCCTCTCTAAATTATACACCTCATATTTCAAAACCAAAAATCCAACTGGATTCGATAATATCCTTTTCATTATGCATCGTGCGGATCCAGTCCAATGCAATAATGTATAATTTATGTTTTTTCTTAGCATGCTTATATATTAGTTTACTAAATTTATGATTTAACAACATTTTTATTTCTTATAGGCTTTCAAAATGCTTATTTGGTTAAACTAAAATATTATAAGATCGTAAGGGTTGAAGATGTGGAGCCAAATCACATGGAGAAGAAAAGCAATAAAAAAACGGAGAAAAAATCGGCGCAGCACCACAGCAGCACGCACAATGCCATGGCGCTCTAGGAATCGGCCTCGCAGTGCCGCGGCACCAAAGATGGGCCCCATGGCGCTAGTGACCAACTCGAGATAAAGGCGGTTTTGATATTTTTTTAGGGCCTTTTGAGGCTTTTCTTGTACTCTATAAATACCTAATAT